TGACAGCTAACCAGCAGGGATGAGGCTTCCAGGTTAGTACTGTGACAGCTAACCAGCAGGGATGAGGCTTCCAGGTTAGTACTGTGACAGCTAACCAGCAGGGATGAGGCTTCCAGGTTAGTACTATGACAGCTAACCAGCAGGGATGACGCTTCCAGGTTAGTCCCAGCTTGATTTCTCCACATTCCGTGATTCAAGTGTGTTCTGTCTTCTGCGATAGGGTCTTACTATCAAGTTCCGGAGGGTAACCAAGAGCAATGGTAATATAATATTTGGGGGGTAATATAATAATGGGATGTTATTAGCCAATGACTCAAAACATCCCTGGCCCTGGCCAGCTGGTTTGGCATAAAGTCATCATTATTTGATATCCTATGGTGTCTAGGGGTATTATTCTTCTACCCCATTAGTGGCAATTCCATTAATATATATATATATATATATATATATATATATATCCCTATATATATATATATATGATTTATACACACACACATACAAAACTATGTATTTTGGGGAGTGTCTAAAGTAGTAGGTTTTCTTTTTACTTTCTTTTTTTGTGCTTTTTGTTTGTTTATTTGTTTTTCGAGTCAGATTTTCTCTGTGTAGCTTTGGAGCCTTTCCTGGAACTTGTGCTATAGACCAGGCTGGCCTCGAACTCAGAGATCTGCCTGCCTCTGCATCCTGAGTGTTGGGATTAAAGGCATGCGCCATCACTGTCTGGCTGTAGGTTTTCATATGACTTTTGCAGAGGTCTTTAATGTTCTTTGAATATTTCATACATGTAGATGGCATTTTTTATCATAGTTTCCCCACTCCCTGCCTCCAGATCCTCCTGGCTCTACTCCTGCTGTGGGAGCTCCTTCGCTCCTTCAGCCACTAACTTTTAAGATACCAGTCCACTTGGGCGTGGTCTCTTATACTATAAAGGCAGCTGTAAAGCCTGTGCTCACTCTCTTGCTTCTGGCTCTCACTTCCAGTCGTTAGACTGTGTTCTTGTTCCCCATTCATGCAGAGGACTGTGATCTAGGACAGTGATCTGTAAGTCTCCCCTAAATAAATAACCTCTTATTAGGCGTAATTCTGAACTAGTGTACGATTCTTTTGTGTCTTCTGCTATCATCTGGCGCCTGAATGTGGGGACCAGTCCACACTTTTTGGGATCAGTCTGCCAGTCATGTGGCACGTTGGAAACTGACTATCTTGCCCATGGCTTTAGCCAGCCCTCAGATGCAGCAGGCTGCTGCTCAGCACTCCCTGGCTCGTGACCCCATGCTGCCTCTCTGTGAGTTACATGCCAGCCCACATACTGCTGTCTGTGATCCCTGCTGTGCACACAGGCTGCAACTCATACTAACAGAAAACTTTGGGTTTTCTCTTTATCCTGGGCCCCAACTTTCAGAATTGTTTGATCGCCTTAGTAACTGTTCTTAATTTGTTAAACAAAGCATTTTTTTCAGTAACACATGCTGTTCACTGCTGCTAGCATCTCTCTGGCCATGTGGCTGTAACTGTGACACCTGCTGGCCAATGACGATTATTACACCTACTCCAATTCATTGTAATTTCCTCATGACAGGTAAAATCTGAAAAACTACAAAAAATGACTGATAACATCCAGAAGTTCAATAATTATTTTGTTCATAATAGGGAAGGTATTGTGCAAGACCTACACTATTTTCCTTCCCTTTATTTGTTGATTCTAGAAATTAGCTTTGTTTTAAATATTATCTCATTAAAAAAATGGTTCAATACCATGCAGAGGGATAGCATCAATTTGACAAAATTATCTGAAAGACTTTGTGCTGTTGAATCTTTCAGAATCTGTTAAAAAGTTATGTGCAAGGATGAGACATTATCTTTACTGAACAAGTTGGAATCCTCAGTGAGGACATTAGAGTAGAACACTGGGCAGGAGATTCAGACTTTAAAAAAGGCAGTAGTAAAAAGATTTGAAAAGATTGAGGAATTTATTGAAATGGATGAGCTGGGACAGAAGGTACAAGGACAGGATTTAGCCTCATCAGTGCATGCCAGACCCCTGGATGACTTACTCTGAGTTTCAACTGCAGATGCAGTAATTTCCTCAGAAAGATCATCTGGCACAAAATATCCTAAGAAGTCAAAGAATATACATGGGAACCAATACATATGAGCAATCTAAAAGAAATAAAGCAAGCAATAGTTTCTTATGGGCCACATTCACCTTTTGTCAGAGAAATGGTGGAAACATGGGCTTCACATACTATGGCTACCCCACACGATTGGCTTCAAATAATCTCAGCGGTCCTGGAAAATGGACTTCAGCTGCTTTGAAAGTGTTATTGAAGTGAAGAGGCAAAAATTTTAGAGCAACAGGGGAAAGCAAAAGGATTTGAGACATCAATCAACATCAAATTCTTGGTGAGGGTCATTAGTCTGATCCTCAGGAACAGGCTTGCTACAATGAACAGGCTGTGTCCCTATGTAGCACAGCAGCTTTAAATGCTTGGGACAGGAGTCAGGAACCAGGAAAGAGGCCTGAGTCATATATTAGGTTAAACAGGGCCAGAGAGAACCCTTTACTGACTTCTTACAAAGATTAACTAAGACTGTATGATGAGGATTGACAGACTTTGTAGCTAGACATGTACTAATTGAATCCTTGGTTTTAGAAAATGCCAACTTAGAATGTAAGAAGATCCTTGGGCCTTTAAAGGCTAGATCAGCACCCATAGATGAGTGGATCTTAATACTATGAATGTTGAAATATTTGACTATAGTACTGCAGCTTGGACAGAAGAAATTTCCAATGGCATGAGGAGACAACAAAATGCCAAATGTTTTAATTGTGGAAGAATAGGACATCTAAGAAGAAACTGTAGACAAGAAATTCCTAGGAATAATGTCTCCTCTAGAAATAGCAAGAATAGGAGGACTCAGCCTTCTGGTATATGTAGGAGGTGTGGTAAAGGCTGACATTGGACTAATGAATGTAGGTCGACAAGAGACAGAACAATGAAACCCAATGCCACCGGGTTCCTTGGGGGGGCTCTCTCAGGCCCTGATGTCAGACAAAGCTCAGTTATTCCCACTCACTGTGGAGAACATGTCTCACCAGGAAAATTAAATAATCCAGTGCTTACTGTAAAAAACCATCCTGTTCTGGATGATGGAATAGACCTGGAGGATGAGTCAAAAACTCCAATAGGAAATAGAAAATGTATATTTTGGCAAACTTTATAAATGATCAAAGACCAAAGCTAAGAGTGCATATAAATAACATTGTAATTGAGGGATTACTAAACACAAGTGTGGATGTGACTATTATTACTCCAGAATCTTGGCATACAGATTGGCCTATTCAAGAGGCAGATATTCAGTTCCTAGGAATTGGAACCCTATCTCAAGTAAAACAAAGCATGAGGTGGGTTGAATATGCAGGGCCAGAAGGACAGAAAGGAAGACTGAGGCCATATGTAACTAATATTGCAATGAATTTATGGGACCATGACCTATTGCAGCAATGGAATACCCAGGTTAACATTCCTGCAGTCCCTAAAACTCATGTGTCTGGGAAGGATATTATAAAATACTATGTAAAAAATATATAGGTCTTCAGCCATTCAGGCTGTACAATAACACAAAGCAACTAGTAATCCTTCAGAGGTACTAACAGCCTTGCCTTTAAATGGTTAACTGAGAAACCAATATGGGTTAAACAATGGCCTTTAATGGAAGACAAACTGTAGGCTTTAGAACAGTTGGTACAGGAGCAACTAGATGCTGGCCATATTGAAGAATCAACAAGCCCTTGGAATTCTCCTGTATTTTTTGTTAAAAATAAATCAGGAAAATGGAGAATGGTGACAGATCTAAGAGCTGTCAACAAGGTAATCCAACCTATGGGCTCTCTACAGTGTGGAATTCCTCGATCTTCTCTGTTACCAAAGGAATGGCCTCTCATAGTTATTGATTAAATGGATTTTTTTCTTCACTATACCTTTACAAGAAAAAGACTGAGAAAAATTTGCTTTCATAGTGCCTACTTATAATTCTCAGCCTACTAGGAGATACCAGTGAACCGTTCTCCCACAGGGAATGCTCAATAGCCCCACCCTGTGTCAATACTTTGTAAATCAGCCATTGGAAATTATATGCAAGCAATTTCCTAAGTCTATAGTTGACCATTACATGAACAACATTTTGTTATCTGACTCAAACGCAGATACTTCAGAATGTTTGAAGAAGTAAAAAAAGTTTTGCCTAAATGAGGATTACAAATTGCTTCTGAAAAAAATACAAAGGGGAGATTCCGTCAATTGCCTTGCTTACACAATAGGTTTACAAAAAATTAGAACATAAAAGGCACAAATTAGGAGAGACCGATTGCAGACTCTTAATGTCTTTCAAAATTTGTTAGGAGTTATTTCCAGTCTATGACCAGATTTTGGGATAACACCTGATCTAATAGTTCATTTAAACAAAACCTTAGATGGTGACTAAGACTTAAATAGTCGGGATACGTTCGTTGGCTTACTCCTTTCTGCCTATTGACGCGGCCGAGGAAGCATCGCTGAAGGCTCTCATTTTCCTGCCGTCATGTCTGAGTCAGAGTCTCCCAAGGAGCCAAAATAGCTGCGGAAGCTCTTCATTGGAGGGCTGAGCTTCGAAACAACCGACGAGAGTCTGAGGAGCCATTTTGAGCAATGGGGAACACTCATGGACTACGTGGTAATGAGAGATCCAAACACCAAACGATCCAGGGGCTTTGGGTTTGTTACGTACGCCACTGTGGAGGAAGTGGATGCCGCTATGAATGCAAGACCCCATAAGGTGGATGGAAGAGTTGTGGAACCTAAGAGAGCTGTGTCAAGAGAGGATTCTTAGAGACCAGGTGCCCACTTAACCGTGAAAAAGATCTTTGTTGGTGGTATTAAAGAAGACACGGAAGAACATCACCTGAGAGATTACTTTGAGCAGTATGGGAAAATTGAAGTGATTGAAATCATGACTGACAGAGGCAGTGGAAAAAAGAGAGGTTTTGCTTTTGTCACCTTTGATGACCATGACTCTGTGGATAAGATTGTTATTCAGAAATACCATACTGTGAACGGGCACAACTGTGAAGTAAGAAAAGCCCTATCCAAGCAGGAGATGGCTAGTGCCTCGTCCAGCCAAAGAGGTCGAAGTGGTTCTGGAAACTTTGGTGGTGGTCGTGGAGGTGGTTTTGGCGGCAATGACAATTTTGGTCGAGGGGGAAACTTCAGTGGTCGTGGTGGCTTCGGTGGCAGCCGTGGTGGTGGTGGATATGGTGGCAGTGGGGACGGCTATAATGGATTCGGTAATGACGGTGGTTATGGAGGAGGCGGCCCTGGTTACTCTGGAGGAAGCAGAGGCTATGGAAGTGGTGGACAGGGTTATGGAAACCAGGGCAGTGGCTATGGTGGGAGTGGCAGCTATGACAGCTATAACAACGGAGGAGGCGGAGGCGGCTTTGGCGGTGGTAGTGGAAGCAATTTTGGAGGTGGTGGAAGCTACAATGATTTTGGCAATTACAACAATCAGTCCTCAAATTTTGGACCAATGAAAGGAGGAAACTTTGGAGGCAGAAGCTCTGGCCCTTATGGTGGTGGAGGCCAGTACTTTGCTAAACCACAAAATCAAGGTGGCTATGGTGGTTCCAGCAGCTGCAGCAGCAGCTATGGCAGTGGCAGGAGGTTCTAATCACAGCCAGGAAACAAAGCTTAGCAGGAGAGGAGAGCCAGAGAAGTGACAGGGAAGCTACAGGTTACAAGTGATTTGTGAACTCAGCCAAGCACAGTGGTGGCAGGGCCTAGCTGCTACAAAGAAGACATGTTTTAGACAATACTCATGTGTATGGGCAAAAAAACTCCAGGACTGTATTTGTGACTAATTGTCTAACAGGTTATTTTAGTTTCTGCTCTGTGGAAAGTGTAAAGCCTTCCAACACAGGGTTTTACTGTAGACCTCTTTTCACCCATGCTGTTGATTGCTAAATGTAATAGTCTGATCATGACACTGAATAAATGTCCCATAAAATTAACAGCTGAAGCAGAAAAAAAAATTCATGGTCATTGAAGAGAAATTTCAGGAGGCACATGCAGATAGAGTGAATCCAAATCTTAATTATATTCTAGTCATATTGTCTTCCAGAATTTCCCCTACAGGAATTTTAATGCAGAGGGAAGATATTATCTTAGAGTGGATCTTTTTACCAAATAAATCAAGTAAAAAATTAAAAACTTATGTGGAAAAAGTCTCTAAACTATTTATAAAAGGAAAATTGAGACTTCGTCAATTAGTAAGTATAGGCCCAACAGAGATTATAATGCCTTTTACTACTAATGAAATTAAAAAATTATGGGAAGACAACAAACCATGGCAAAGAGCTTGTGCTATTTTTTGGGAGAAATTAATACCAATTTTCCAAAAATTGATAGAATTAACCTTATAAAGAGAACTACTTGGAATCTTCCCTGAGTTGTACATGATGCACTAATAACTAGAGCCTATACATTTTATACTGATACAAATAAATCAGGAAAGGCAGGTTACAAATCAGAAGAATTAAGTAAGGTAGGGCAATGCCATTATAATACTGTCCAAAAGGCAGGATTATATGCTATTTTTATTGTTCTAAGGGATTTTTAAAAACCTTTCAATATTGTTACTGATTTGTAATATACAGAATGAATTGTCTTGCATATTGAAACCACTGAATTTATACCAGATGATACAGAATTGACTTCATTATTCATACAGGTTTATGATATAATCAGGAATAGACTCTGTCCCATATACATAACAAACATCTGATCCCATACAGGTCTGCCAGGTCCTCTAGCACAAGGTAATGCAGAAATTGATCAATTATTGATTGGAAGTATGCTGAAGGCCTCAGAATTTTATAAGAAACATCATGTCCATAGCAAAGGTTTAAAGAAAGAGTTTTCTATTACAAGGCAACACGATAAGGAGATTATGAAGAGATGGCCTATTTGCTCTTTCTGTAACCAAACATTGCTACCTGCAGGGACTAACCCAAAGGGTACTCAAAGGAATGAGATCTGGTAGATGGATGTATTCCACTTTATAGAATTTGGAAAATTAAAATATGTATACTACGCCATTGATGCCTATTCAGGTTTTCAATGGGCAACTGCCTTGAGCTCAGAAAAGGCTGATTCAGTAATCATGCATTTATTAGATGTTATGGCCGTCATGGGTATACCTGCACAAATAAAGACAGATAATGGTCTAGCATATGTGTCTAAGAAAATGAAACAGCTTTTTGCTTATTATCATATAAAGCATATTGCAGGTATATCAAATAACCCTACAGGTCAGGCAGCTATAAAAAGATCAAATTGAACAATAAAGGACATGTTAAACAAATATAAAGGGATGGAAAATACCCCAGAAATAGATTTCATAATGCTTTATTAACCTTGAATTTTCTTAATTCTAATGAGAAAGGAACAACAGCAGCAGAGAGAGACATTGGATAATAGAAAACGCTTTGGAATTAAACCAGCCAGTATATTTCAAGGATGTGCTGACCTCACAATGGAAACCAGGAGATGTTCTATATTGGGGAAGGCTGTTTCCACAGGAGAAGAAAAGCTATGAATACCATAAAAATTAATAAAGATTCAGTTAGTAAAAGAGAAGCCTCTTGAGAAAGAGAAATGACAGCTCATCCACAGAGGCGACAATCATATAGGTGGTAAAAAAAAAAAACCTCATAAGTGTTGGGGCACAGTTCTGTTATTATCTTTGCAGGAAAATATTCATCCTCAAAGAGTGAAGTGACCTTGGACATCTAGATGTCTAAAGATAAAAAGATAGCTATTCACAATGAATCAACAAACAAAGAGAAATCTGCCTTATGCTGTGCTATCTGCATGGTTAAATTTGATTATTTGTACACGTATACATCTCTACTTAAAAATAAGAGCTGGCTTTGGATTTGGAAAGTGGATATCCTTCTCTAAATCCAAGCACATTGTTAAAAGAAAAATTCAGAACTTCTGTCTCATGTCAGAAGCCATCTGGTATGAGACAGAAAGAAGATACATTTTAAGGAAATATTTTACTTTTCTCCTTGCCCATTTTGTTTATATCATACCTTTCATTAAATGTATGCCTATATGAATAATGCTTAAGTTTTCCACAATGAACAGTAGATTTTCCCGCAATAATCTTTGGAGCTTTCAGGAAGAAGATGGGTCCCCACTGCTGTGTAGTACTCCATTGTGTAAATGTACCACCTTTTTCTTTCCATTCTTCTATCAGGGGCATTTAGGTTGTTTCCAGGTTCTGGCTATGTCAAATTAGGCTGCTATGAACATAGCTGAGCACATGTCCTTGTGGCACGATTGAGCATCCTTTGGATATATACCCAAAAGTGGTATTACTGAGTCTTAAGGAAGGTTGTTTCCTAATTTTCTGAGAAATCACCACACTGACATCCAAAGGGGCTGTACCAGCTTGAATTCCCACCAGCAATGCAGAAGTGTTCCCTTTTCCCTACAACCTCTCCAGCATAAGTTGTCATCAGTGTTTTTGATCTTGGCCATTCATACAGGTGTAAGATGGAATCTCAGAGTTGTTTTGATTTGCATTTCTCTGATGACTAAGGATGTTGACATTTCCTTAAGTGTCTTTCAGCCATTTTAGATTCCTCTGTTGAGAGTTTTCTGTTTAGGTCTGTACTCCATTTTTTTTTATTAGATCATGTGATCTTTTGGTGTCCAATTTCTTGAGTTCTTTGTATATTTTGGAGACCAGACCTCTGTCTGATGTGGGATTAGTGAAGATCTTTTCCCATTCTGTAGGCTGTCGTTTTGTCTTGTTGACCGTGTCCCTTGCTTTACAGAAACTTTTCAGTTTCAGGAGGTCCCATTTATTAATTGTTTCTCTCAGTGTCTGGGCTGCTGGAGTTATATTTAGGAAGTGAGTGGTTCCCTGTGCCAATGCGTTCAAGCATACTTCCCACTTTCTCTTCTATAAGGTTCAGTGTGACTGGCTTTATGTTGAGGTCTTTGATCCATTTGGACTTTAGTTTTGTGTATGGTGATAGATATGGGTCTATTTTCATTTTTCTACATGTTGATATTCAGTTATGCCAGCACCACTTGTTAAATATGCTTTCTTTTTTTCCATTTGATATTTTTTGCTTCTTTATCAAATATCAGGTGTTCAAAGATGTGTGGATTGATATCTGGGACTTTGATTTGTTCCATTGGTCCTGCTGTATGTTTTTTTTTTTTTTTTTTGCCAGTACCAGGCTGTTTTCAGTACTGTAGTTCTGTAGTAGAGTTTGAAGTCAGGGATTGTGATGCCTCCGGAAGTTCTTTTCATTGCACAGGATTATTTGGCTTTCCATATGAAGTTGAGTACCGTTCTTTTGAGGTCTTTGAAGAATTTTGCTGAGATTTTGATGGGCATGTAATTCTAACCTTATACTTGGTATTTGTTCCTAGGTGTCTATAGTTTTGGGTTTGAAACTCTCTTATTTAAACAAAAGGGAGAGGTGCTGTGGGAATTCCTTTGCACCTTCAGCCAATACCTTTTAAGATACCAGCCCTCTTGAGTGTGATCTCTTATACTATTAATGCAGGTGTAAAGCTGGCACTTGCTCTCTTGCTTCCATCTCTCACTTTGGGCTGCTAGACTCTGTTCCTGCTCCCCAATCATGCAGAGGACTGTGATCTAGGGGAGTGATCTGTGAGTCTCCCCTAAATAAATAACCCTTTATTATATATAATTCTGAACCAGTGTGGGATTATTTTGTATCTTATGCCGTCACACCCCCTCATGCTCCCCTCCAACTTCATGTCTTCTTTGTCTCTCTTTTTTAGCCCCTAAGTCCAATTAGTGGACTTATGTGCACATGTCCATATGTGCATGGCTGTGGGGCCATCCGATGCAGCACACCAACACACCAGTGGCTGCCTTCCTGAAGACACCCGACTCTCTCTGATTGAGAAGTTATCAACTGTCAATAGCTCTTCAGCTTCAAGACAGGCATGTGGCCCATGCCTTTAATCCCAGTACTGGTAAAACACAGAAAGTTTCAGGACAGCCAGGGCTGTGCAGAGAAACCCTGTCTTGAAAAAACAAAACAAAAGATCTTCAGCTAGTAGTGAGGCCTCATGTGCCCTTCTCCCATCCATGCTGGAATGTTGTCTGGTTTGATCTTGTAAAAGCAGCTGAAGTTGCTGTGGTTTCCTAAGTCCAATGGCCCTGTCATGGTCAGAAGACACTGTTTCATCTCAGCCCTCCTTGGCCTCTTGCTCTTGAGATGTTTCTGCCTCCACTTCCCTGACATTCCCAGAGCTTGCAGAGTGAGTGACATGGATGTCTCGTCCTTGGCTGAGCACCGCTACATACCAAGTGCACTTTGACAGTTATAAGTCTCTGTGTGTATGCTGTTCACTGTACAGCGTGGCTTCTCTGGTGAGGACTGGGAGCTGGACCAGTCTGTGGGTATAGAGATAGGTATCTAAAAGGCAGTTTTACAATACGCCCTTTAGCAATTGTAGCAGATTCTCCTCCAGAACCTAAGAGCTTCCAGACCATGGGTTCTCGGCCAGATTTACAACACCATTAAATGAGTTGTTTGTTTTTTTTTTTTAAAAAAAAGATTTATTTATTTATTTATTCAGTATCCTGCCTGTAGGCCAGAAGAGGGCACCAGATCTCATTATAGATGGTTATGAGCCACCAGGTGGTTGCTGGGAATTGAACTCAGGTCCTCTGGAAGAGCAGTCAGTGCTCTTAACCACTGAGCCATCTCTCCAGCCCTCATTGCTGTTTTAAAATGTTATTATTTATTAGTTTTAATTGTGT